CCAACTCAGAAAACCTCATCTCATACTGGGTCATGGTCATACCCCCATGCGTCAACCACTCAAACTACCTACGCAGCTCCTCTCTGCGGGACTGCGATACATACTTCTCCAAGAAGAGAGCGGAGAACTGCTGCCAAGAAAGGGGTGTTGCACCGACAGGCCTACGCCTCTCAAAATCCTCCCACCAAGTAAAGGCAGCCCCCGAGAACTGAAAGGTGGTAAATGCCATACCACTAGACTCAAGAATCCCTGCTGTACGGAGCATCTGCTGACACTTGTCAAGAAAACACTGGGCATCCTCGCCCTCAGCACCAATGAACGATGGAGGCTGGAGCCTACCAAACCTCTCAAGACGATGCTACTTATCATCCGATATGTCTGGTACTACGAACTCCTGAACTGGCGCAATTGGCTGAGTTGGAGGTGCCCCCAGCGTCTGTAGTCCCTGCACTACCTACTCAGGTGTGCGAGCAGCGAGGGTCTGATTGCCTCTCCCGGCTTGTGAAGTAGCTGTTGCGGTAGTGCTGAAACTGCCTGAGCCAGGCCAGTGCAAACTGATAAGATCTGTGTCAAGGCCTCCTGAAGACCCAAAATCACGATGGGCACAGCTGGTGCCTGAACTGGTGCTGTTGGAGCCTGATCCGGAGCTGGGGCAACTGGTGGATCAACTGGTGCTGCCCTCGCTGCTCTGCCTCTGCCACGTCCACGACCGCATCCACGGCCTCTGGTGGCCTCAGTGGGTGGCACTGGTGGTCGTCCACCTCGTCCGGTAGCTCGCGTCCTCACCATCTGCGAGAGAGTAGAATAATATAAGTTTAGTTCTCGGATAAACAAAGTCGCACGATAAGAATTTCAAGAATGTGAAGTTTTTCCTAAAGGTTCTACAGCCTCTCGAGGATAAATACAGACATCTCCGTACCGATCCACGAGACTCTACTAAACTGGCTCACGACTTACGAGACCTATGTAACCTAGGCTCTGATACCAACTTGTCACGACCCCAACTCCGGTCGCGATGGCGCCCAACAGACGGCTAGGCAAGCCTGACCAACTAACAACCTCAATCTATTTTCTTATAAAATCATTATCAGCTAACACAGTTAAATTGCTAAATTACTCTAATAAGAGTTTAAGACAACGAGTTAAATATACAGAAATCAGATGATAATACCACTACATAGCCCATACAGGTCTGGTGTCACAAGTCTCGAGCCTCTAGTACAAGTTTAACAGCCTAATACATAATCAATCTAGGAAATGCGGATAAAACGAAAGGATAGAAGGCAAAGATCCGGGCTGCGAACGCCGTGCAGCTACCTCGATACTCCCGGATATGAACTGATCGACTGAAAATCCTCACTCAGCCTCTAGAACACATGGATTTGCACACAAGGTGCAGGGAGTAATGTGAGTACTCCGACCCAGTGAGTAATAATCATAAATAATGACTGAGAATAAGAAATCACGGAAAAACACGGAGTAATCTATAATGTGGCAGTTTTAAACAAGTAATGTGAAAGCAATAAACCAATGAAAATGAAATGTGGTAATGCTATAACAAATAAGCAGTTAAGTGACAGTCATGAAAGGAAAATCAACACATAGAATGGTACCCTATAGTACCCGCTGCGACGTGCAGCCCGATCCATACATTTCGTCGATGGCGCTCACTGGGGGTGTGCAGACTCCGGGAGGGGCTCCTTACGGCCCAAGCGTAATATCAAGCCATCTCGTGACATCAAATCTAGGCCCTCGGCCTCATATCAATATCAGTATAACACTGCTGCGGCGCGCAACCCGATAGTATCCTCACAACTGGCCCTTGGCCATACTCAGTCCAGAAATCATATAAGCCCATCGGGCATTAGTAAAATAATAGTTCTCAGCCCAAAACATCATTTAATATATCATTTTTTGTTTCAAAACCGAGTAAAAGTGGTTGAGTTGTAAAACAATGGAAAACGGTACGACTAAGTTTAAGTAGTAAGTCAAAACAGTGAGGAAATAGTGATAAAACTCTCCGAACGGTTCAAATAGTTGGCACGAAGCCCAAATATGGCAATCAGTCCAAATAGTAATGACAACAAATAAGCTTTAATCAAATACGCGGTAAAAGCATCACCGGGGACGGACCAAGTCACAATCCCCAATAGTAAACGACCCCACGCTCATCATCAAGCGCGTGTCTCACCTCAATATAGCACTATGATGTGCAAATCCGGGGTTTTAAACCCTCAGGACATCATTTACATTCATTACTCACCTCAAACTGGCAAAAACTCTAGCTCGCGACGCTTTTGCCTCTCAAATCGGCCTCCTCGCGCGTCGAATCTAACCAAAACCAGAACGAATACGTCACAATATGCTACGGGAACATAACCCAAGCGAAAACAATCGAAAAATATCAAAAATCCGAAATTAGCAAAACCCGAGCCCCGGGCCCACTTCCCGAAACTCAGAAATTTTCACATCATTAGATTCCTTATCACCCCACGAGTTCATGCATATCAAAACAGAATAATCGGAGTTCAAATGACCCCTCGAATCCTCAATTTAAGCCCTCTTAGACTCAAGCCCTAGACCTTCATTTTTTACCCTTAATTTCCATGATTTCTAGCTCTAATCCATGAAATAATAGCATAGGAACGAGTTTTTGGTCCAAAATCCTTACTTCAATGAAGTTCTCTTGAAATCCATCTCACAAATCGCCCAAGAAGCTCTTAAGCCGAGGTCAAAAATGGTGAAATGACCCAAAATTTCGCGAAAGCTCTTTTAATTCTTCTACCCAGTTGTTCCGCATCTGCGGCCTCCATCGCCGCTTCTGCGGTAATTCCTCCGCATTTGCGGAATCACTTAGGGGGCCAGGTTCCGCATCTGCGGTCCACGAGCCGCATCTGTGACTCCGCAGGTGCGGTCCATATGCCACATCTGCGGCCCCTGGCAAATTCTTCCCAAACTGCTTCTGCGGCTCTTCTTCCGTATGTGCGGCACCGCACCTGCGGTCCAAAATTCGCAGGTGCGGAAATACCAGAAGCAGCAAACTCTGAATTCTCTTAAGTCCAAAAATCTTCCCGTTAACCACCCGAAATCACCCCGAGGCCCCCGGGACCTCCACCAAAGGCACCAACACAAACCAAATACCTCATTCAAACTTGTTCCAATCATCAAAACACCACAAACAACACTAAAACCACCAATTCACATCGAATTCAAGCCTAAGTTTTCTAAAAACTTTCGAAACACGCTTTTGATCAAAAACTCAATCAAACCACATCCAAATGACCTGAAATTTTGCACACGCATCCCAAATGACATAACGAAGCTACAACACCCGAGATCAAAATCTCGCCTATCAACCGGAAATCGCCAAAATACTAACTTCGCCAATTCAAGCCTAATTCTACACCGGACCTCCAAAATCACTTCCGATCACACTCCTAAGTCACAAATCACCTCCCGAAGCTAACCGAACCATCGGAACTCACACCCGAACCTTCTAACTCATAAGTCAACATTCAGTTGACTTTTCCAACTTAAGCCTTCTTAAAAGAGACTGAGTGTCTCATTTCTTACCAAAACCACACCAAACGCAAACCCATCAACTCGATCACATAAATCACGGATAACGAAGCATAAAGAAGCNAAGGGGGGGGGGGGGGAGAACGGAGCAGTAACTCATGAGACGACTGGCCGGGTTGTCACAAAAAGCGAAAATTTATTTATAATGACTGAGAAAAATAAATAAATAATAATCAACTATGATAATTCAAAATTCCATGCAACAAATTAATAGTTTAGAAATAAATAAGTTAGTCATGTAGGTAATTTCAACAATGAATATTAACTCTCATAATTTTATGATGAAATAAAAAAGAAAAAATGTAATTACTTATATTGTTCATATTATTAGAATAAAAATATGACATATAAAAGAATTCTTCATTTATATTTTAAACAAATTCAATATATGATTTAGGCCAAAATATGATACCATTTGGATTAAAGGTAACACATTAACAGTAAAAAATTAATTAAAATATCGTATCAAAATAAGATGTAAAAAGGGAATAAGATAAACATAAGGTACATGTAAAACAAACCTTGCATCGTAAAAGGGGGGAAATTGCAATTGGCGAAAGTTGGAAGGGGTATTTCTTTCCCAAGTCAAAGAGGCATAAGAATTTTGCCAATAATTAGTACTCCATATAATATGATTGATAGAACACTAGAAAAATGCTTAAATTTTAAGTTCTAGATTTGTGCATATGATCATGACGATAGAAGTGAATATTTGACTCCCCCGCTCCTCCACTCAAAATAAAAAAGAGAGAAGGATTATTGAAGGAAAGGGAATGATAATCGGAAATAAACTACGATACATACAATTAAGAGATTAAACAAATTATATAAGGTAGCTAATAGAAATAATTGCTATAAAAATTAGGTGAAATGTGCAGCTCTTGCATGTTATTCATAAACTATTTGCATTTCAAGCCATAATTGAAACTAACTAACTTAACTAAGAGTTACATCCAATTATTATTATATAGTGCGGATTAATTCTAAAGAAACGTGCTTCTGCATATGGACAATTTATGTCGCTCTTTCATGATTGACACATAGTATGATGGTAATGAAAATTGACAAATGATAAAATATTATATTTAAAGAATTATTTGTTGTAATTTAAATTAAGAGATTATTATATATATTTTATTTAATTAATATAAATTCTTGAATCGTGTTACATTTCAGGTTTATATCACTAATAATGCCAATTGTTATTCGATGATCATATAATTCATATCTTTTAATTTCATAAGTTTTCGTTCTTGGGATACATTATGCGGAGAAGCAATATGATATTTTTGATTTTTTTTTGAGATAATTAGATTTAAAATGCTAAAATAAGCAACATTGTAACTTAATATAATATTATTGGTGACGTGCATTGCGTAATACTAATTTCTATTGTAAAAGCTAAAAGTTGAGAGGTATTAGAATCACAGTTTCAGCTCGCTGCTTCTCTAATCAGAAGATATATGCGGCATATCTGAACCCTAGCTATACAAAAATCTAAACATCTCTCTCTCTCTCTCTCTTTTAACAGACTTCGGCAGCTCACAGAGCAGCAATGGCGGCGGCGGCGGCGGCTACGGCCACTTCTTTCTCCATCTCCTCCTCCACTTCTTCCGCATCCAAATCCCTAAAGCCTGCTCTTTCCGGTAGCTTAGGGTTCCTTTCTTCTTCGTCCCCATCGCTTAAGCCTCTCCGAGCTAAATCTCTTTCCTGTAATGGCTCTGGCTCAAGCTCCGGCGCGGCTCTTAATGCTCGCATGGTCGCTGCGCCTGCTACTATCAAGGCACCGTTTTCTCTCGATTTTGAAACTTCCGTATTCAACAAGGAGAAAGTTACCCTTGCTGGTCACGACGAGGTGCATCTCTTCCCCTATCTAATGTATTTCACCTATTACCTCCGTTTCAAAAAGAATGGCGTATGTCTGTGTGTGAATTTTGTTTTTTGGTTATATTTTAGATATTATAAACTACATTGAAAAAGCTCAAATTTGCTCTCCATTACACGTTTGGTCTATTGCTTAGCAAATTGTCTTGTAGTTGACCTTGTCATCAACGGAGCTACTACGTGAAATGTGTGGACTCACGTGTCCAAATTTTTTGTAGGAAAAAGGTCCAAATTATCCTACAACTTTTTACTGTTTTGAAATTATTTCAAGTTGGAGCTTGTTGCTGTTATCTAAATTTCCAAAGGTAGGGATGATGTTAGACAAAAACTTAACAGAGTGTAAAGTTGTTTAGTTTGGAATAACAAAGGGATAAATTGACCATTTTCCCTTTTTAAAATATTGTTACAAAATCTTCTTTGAAAAACTCAAACAAACAGTCTCGCATTTTATTTTTGAAAACTTTGGCAGAAGTACCATATAATTCAGTTTTTTTGGCAGCGGAAGTATTAGTGTTATTTTTGTTCGGCATATCTGTGATGAAAATGTTTATTTTTGTATGGGGAAGTTCTTGGCTTTGACGTGTAACGTATATTGTTTGGGATTGTGGTGTAGTACATTGTGAGAGGAGGGAGAGATTTGTTCAAGTTGTTGCCGGATGCATTCAAGGGAATCAAGCAGATTGGAGTCATAGGCTGGGGTTCTCAGGTGAAATTTCTTGGTTTTGTTTTTATTCAGTTGATTCAATGTGGATATCTGTAGGATGTTTCATTCTGACTGCATATTGGAATATGAAATTAATGCAAAGAGAAAGCTTGCTGTTTGAAGCTCAATGAAGTCTGAGGGAATAGTATTTTTGAGTGCGATTTGATACCACGAGTTTAGTTAACTAAAATTTTTGAAAAAGATTTCTCTTTCTATATGTAGAAGTTTAGAATTTTTTTTGTCTCATTTGCTATTTTTCGAGAGAGGTTCAATCTTTCGGATGTACTTAATAAAAGCAACACTACTCATTTTGTTGACTTTTCAGAAATCGTATTCTCGCCCAGCGTCTGCTCTACATGCTATTTCTAGCATATTTGCTGATAATGTTTCTCTATTCTATTGTTACCTTCTCAAAAAAAAATGTTTCTCTATTCTAGTATTTCTCGAGAGGTTACTTCGTCCTCCATTCAAAATTGATGTATTTCACACTGTGCTTCCCTTGATAATCGGTTATGTCGTTGGATTTCATCATTAACATAGAAGGTATTTTTTCACAATATATCTGAATACTGTTTTGACTAGTGGGCTAGTTTAAATATATAGCATTGAATTATTTTAGCTAAAAATGCACTTTTTTTTGGGTTTAGGTGAGATTTGATGTTATTCCTCTCTTCTGTTCATGCTTCATTCCTTTTTTTTCTACATTCAAGTAGCTTAGTGATAACTTCTTATTGGTAGGGACCAGCTCAAGCCCAGAATTTGAGGGATTCTCTTGCAGAAGCAAAATCTGATATAGTTGTTAAGGTAACACTTCATTTTCTTCTGGTTTAGAAGTTGAAGTTGAAACTGGATTTAATCTGGTGTTGATACAGATTAATTCCTCATGGTGTTGAAGCTTATGAAGTAAGAATGTTGGTCTTATGCAGATTGGTTTGAGAAAGGGTTCACACTCCTTTGCTGAGGCCCGTGCTGCTGGGTTTACTGAAGAGAATGGTACCTTAGGGGACATATATGAAACTATCTCTGCCAGTGATCTAGTGCTGCTTTTGATTTCTGATGCAGCTCAGGTTGGCACATTGTTTTAGCCTCATGTTTTTTTCGTGACGACTTGGTAATACTTTTTATTGAAGGCTGCCCTTGACCTGATAGTTCAATGTCTTGCCTAGGATGCTAGATATCTTGTTTTAGTGCTTCCTACTCTTCCAAAGCACGATAAAACTTAGTTTTCGTATGTCAAAAGTCATAACTTTGTGCTTTCTGCTCCCACCACTGGTGATTAGATGTGATTTTGTTGTTTAGTGTATACTTTCACTAAACTTAGTGTTTTCTATGGGGAGATTGTGAACATTCTAAATAGAATTGATACTAGTTTATTTTGGTTAGCAAAAACACAGATTATTACTGGAATCACGTTTTTCAAAGAATATTTCTCCAAGTCATCAATTGATAATCTCGTGTACCAACTGTATCCTTGAACTTGTTATTCAATGGACACATATTTGAACTGAAATAGAGAACCGAAGGATGGAAATTAAAAAAAGGATTAAAAATAAACTTTTTTGACACATTTTACCTCAAGAAAATGGAATTATTGATAGCTTATCAGACAGTGTATTCCTTCACCAGGTTTGCAGGTAGTGCCAGTTGCTTCACTACTCCTTTTTTTCTGAATTTTCTGATGTATGTGCAGGCTGACAACTATGAAGAAGTGTTTTCTCACATGAAGCCAAATAGTATTCTTGGTCTTTCGCATGGATTCCTTCTCGGCCATTTGCAGTCAATGGGCCTTGACTTTCCCAAGAACATTAGCGTGATTGCTGTATGTCCCAAGGGTATGGGCCCATCAGTCAGGAGACTATATGTGCAAGGAAAAGAAATCAATGGTGCTGGAATCAATGCAAGTTTTGCAGTTCACCAGGTCTTCCGCGGCCCTTTATAATTCACCCTCTTCCATTTTCCCTCAAACTCTTGGCTTTTATGTTCTATGAGATGTAATGCCTTTCACTATGTACAGGATATTGATGGAAGGGCCACAGATGTTGCTCTTGGGTGGTCAGTTGCCCTTGGTTCCCCCTTCACATTTGCTACTACCCTAGAACAGGAATACAGAAGTGATATATTTGGAGAGCGAGGTTAGCATGTTTCCGAAGTCTGTTTTTTTCACTTACTAAACCAGTATTGTTGAGGTTCACTGGTTTTCTTGTTAGGCATATTACTTGGTGCTGTCCATGGCATTGTTGAGTCATTGTTCAGAAGGTACACCGAAAATGGAATGAGTGAAGAGCTTGCATACAAGAATACTGTTGAGTGCATAACTGGAAACATTTCTAGGACCATATCAACAAAGGTAAAACTTAACTGTTCAATCTTTTGATTTGATGTATCATTTCTAGCAAGATGCTTTTGTAGCTTCTCAAATTGTTCTGAAAGTGTTATATGTGTACTATACATGTTTACTAGGGTATGTTAGCTCTATACAATTCATTTACTGGGGATGAAAAGCGGGAGTTTGCGATTGCATACAGTGCTTCATACTACCCCTGCATGGAGATCTTGTATGAGTGCTATGAAGATGTTGCAACAGGTAGTGAGATCAGGAGTGTTGTCTTGGCAGGCCGCCGCTTTTCTGTAAGTTGATTCTTCATCTTTAGTTTCGTAACAGTTGATCTTTCTCTTTCTCTCTCACACACCCTCACCCCCCCTCCCCCCACGCCCAAAAAACCCACCGATGATGAGAATGGTGGAGGCGCATTAGTTTTTAATATCCTTGATGGAAACTAGATTGTATTGCCTGTACTAATTAGCTTTTGGTGCTTTTCCCCTACATTTTCGTTTGACCACATGACAAAATTGTGTATCCTTGTGGTGAAACCTAATTATACAAGGGCTTCTGCAGCATTTTGGAAAACTCAAATACTGATTATCAGATGAAGATTATTAACCTTCTTTTTTGTACATACAGGAGAAAGAGGGATTACCAGCTTTCCCAATGGGCAAAATAGACCAGACAAGGATGTGGAAAGTTGGTGAGCATGTTCGTGCAACACGACCATCTGGTGATCTGGGTCCTCTGTATCCTTTCACTGCTGGTGTCTACGTCGCATTGATGATGGCCCAGGTTTGCTTTTTATTTCATCCATTTGTTTAATTTTATTTTTATGTTTGAGCCGTTAAAGGACGTCTTGCTGTGTGTATTTTGAGCTTCTGTTGACTTATATCTCCTTAAAACCCTTCTCTTATCTGCTCTCTCTTTAGCTACAAGCCCTTTTTACCTTCCTCCCAATTTATTTTCATTTCTTTTTTCTGTTTATTCTGGTTTCCTCTTTGCTTCTTTCTCCTTCTGAATATGATAACGGTACATGGATGTTCAACACCTATGGTTTTAGCTAAGTGTGAGAGCATCTCGGTCTTGTTTGATGAAGTTCAGCTTTCTGGAAGTAAAATTTTGCTCGAGGTTTTCGCAAAATTCTAACAGGTGGCCTCTTGCAGAAAGCTTCCTGAAGTGCTAAAAAATAAAAACAACCTGAAAGCTCAGTCGAGATATTGGAACTTACCTTAATATCTAAAAAGAAAAAGCAAAGAGATATGCCCGTATTATGTAACAGATCTTTGTCACCTAATGTTTTGTTCTTTATCAACTGTAAACAGATAGAGATTCTGAGGAAGAAAGGCCATTCTTACTCGGAGATCATAAATGAAAGTGTCATCGAGTCAGTTGATTCTCTGAATCCTTTCATGCATGCACGTGGAGTGTCATTCATGGTTGACAATTGCTCAACAACAGCACGTTTAGGATCTAGGAAGTGGGCCCCTCGATTTGATTACAACCTCACCCAGCAAGCATTGGTGGCAGTCGACAATAACGCTCCCATCAATATGGATCTTATGACCAATTTCGTATGTGATCCTGTGCACGAAGCTATTGAAGTTTGTGCCCAATTGCGACCAACAGTTGACATTTCAGTTCCTGCTGATGCTGACTTTGTCCGTCCCGAGCTCAGACAAACTGGCAACTAAAGCTCTTTGTATCACTCATCTTGAGATGGTGATTATTTCGGTGGAATTGGAAGGAGTAAGGCTCTGAGTTAGGAGGTGTGTGTATTCTAGTTGAGCATTTTTAGAGGCGAATCATTGCTGTATGCTGTGATTTTTGGAGGGTATGATCCAAGTAAACATATTTCTATTAGTAATTTATATATAAAAAAAATCAACCTTTTCGTTTGTGGTTATCAAACTATATGATCTCTGTACTTCGGATTTATATGTAGCTTTTGCATATCAACGGAATAATAACACTGCTCAGTATCTCTTTAGCTACAGAAATATTTTCCGAAATAAAAGGTGCAAGTCTAGTTGTATGAACAGGGTGTCGTTGTGAACAATGATCGAATTTGTTCTTGTTTTTCTTCTTCGTTTTTTACCTCTGCAATCTGTTATAATTTTTCTCGAGGTGATGGAAACCATCAGCATTGTTCCAATAGGCAATAGTGCTAGCCTTAGTGCTAGGCAAGCAACCTGCTATAACTTAGCAAGGACAAAAGTTGCGTGTAGTATAGGATTTTTTACCTCCTAAGGTTAACATCTTATTTATTGTAAATAAATACCATTTTAAAAAATTATATTCTATAGATATCTTTTAATGTTTATAGCAAAATGTCTAATTTTGGTTAGCTCTAAGCCACTAAATACGCTATTCAGTTACACTATTTTCTTTCTCTCTCTACTTTCATACATACCATTCTCTTCCCCCACTCCTTAAAAATACGATTCTCAATCTCAAAATTCCTCTCACCCACATCACCTACCATTAGTTAAAAACCCCACTCTCCTCCCTCCTGCACTTTCAGACGACCCTTCAGATCTTCAAACTATCAGGCCTACCATTGACAATACAATTGAATTGCTCATCAATAAGAGAACAAGAACCGGGTTTGTACAAAGGATAAGATTCACCTGTAACTCAATTCCTATCAAAGAAATCACAATTCAACAAAGATTTAACGAAATCTTCATCTCCTTTCTTCACTGACACATCCAAATTTGTCCCATTTTTATGCTTCTTCACCAAAAAAAAAAAGTGAAATTTTTCTCACTTCCTTCTCTATAATTCCCCTTTCTCCATTCTCATTTGCAATTTTATCCCTAGAAGAGTACTTTGGTGCTGAATTTTCAGTCTGATTCACATTAACTGGAGACTTTGTAGCCTCAATTGTGCTCTGATTTGCCTTCAAACTTCTAACTTTATCATCAAATTTTTTTACTTTGAGTCTGACTCACATAAGGGAAGGGAGGTCCAAAACATAGAAACAGAGAGAAAAAGAGAGAGGACGTAGTAGACTTCGAGCCATATGAATATTCATCTTCATTATTATTTAGTAAATAGATGAAGAATCAAAGTCAAAATTAAAACTTGGAGACAATGAATTTTGAGCAAGAGGAAGACAATATGATGGACGAAGATCTGTTGGGTTTATGGTTTTTCCGATGAAAAGAGTTGTTGGTTCTTGGTTTTTATGCTGTATTTTAATGTATTTCGTTGTATTCATTGTATTTTTTTCATTGTAATTCAATGTATCTCGCTGTATTTCATGTATTTCATTATATTCGCTATCTTTTGTTTTCATTGTATTTTCAACGTATCCCGTTGTATTCTATGTATTTCGTTGTATTCACTGTCTCGCTATATACCATGAATGTATTCATATATATTTTTAATTAATATAATTTATGTATTCAGATGTATTATATAATTTCTCTGAAGATTGCTATATTTTTGAGGTATTTTTCGGTTGAGAATCTTTTTTATACAAGAAAATACAAAATTTGTGTGTTATAATTGAGTTTGTTGAGTTATATTAGGAGTCTATTATGTTAATTGATTCACTTTCCGTTTAAAAATAGTGTAATCCTCTGTTTCACGCCGTGAATACGGTCGAATACAATAATCTGTCCAGGTGTAATCCCATGTTTTACTCCATAAATACAGTCGAATACAACAACTGATTAGCTGGACTTCCCTGATTCACGCCTATTTTTGTTACTGTATTCATCAAAAGTAGCTTAAATACATCTAATACATCTTATAACAACCGAAAACGTATCTACAATCCGTACTATAGCAAATGGTATCTATAGATAGCTAATTACCACAAAAAGATAGTGCTTTATGAAAATTACGTAAATTGTCCACTTACAAGTAAACTGGACACTAGGGGTGTGTTTGGTATGAAGGAAAACATTTTCCGGAAAATGTCTTCCAATTTTTCCATGTTTGGTTGGCTTAAATATTTTGGAAAATATTTTCCACATCAACTTATTTTCCTCCAATTAGAGGAAAATGTTTTCCCTATTAAGATAAAGGAAAACATTTTCCAAAACTCTTTTTCAATCTTCCCCACCCTATTCNCTACCCCACCCTACCCTCGACCCCCACCACCCACGCGTAATAGAAATCTATACTATATTAAAAGCACAAAGCCCCTGTTGAAATGTCGTTTATCTTTTTTACCCTCCAAAAATTAATTTTACACTAGACAAAATAGTTATTTTATTATTTCTCTAATTTTATAGACTTTAAAATCAATTAAAAACTTATTATATTTTTTCTTATTTGAACTATATAAAAGTCTTAATATTTGGACTTTAACTGACATGTAACATATTAATTAAATCAAAAACCAACGGTACCATCCAAAGCAAAGCTACACTACCATCGTTAAATATCCTTCGAAAATTCTAAAATGTAAAACAAAAGCAAGAAAAAGAATTTGAATTGAATATTGCCATTATTTAAAACTTTTAAATGAAATAATATTTAGGATTTTAAATTCATAATTTACCACTTTTACTTCTTTGAAACTTCTTACCCTCTTAATTAATTAAAAATGAATTTTATTTCCAGCTAAAAAATATAATAATTCAGAATAACATCGAAACCTGGACAAATCATAGAAGGAAGAAAACAAGCTGGTCAAGCCAAATATGTATTGTTGAGTCATTCAGCAGCCAAATATTTTTTATTTTGCTTATAATTTTGGGAAACTTTGGAGGAAACATTTAAAAATACAAAATTGGTTGTTCGGTCGAAATTAATTGTATTTTTTTAGTTATGAAGCTCAAATTGTTCTCGTGTGAAAAAGTAAATCAGCATATTAGTTCCTTTGGGTTTATGTGAAATTTTTTAAAAGAATAATTGGATTCTTGAAGGAAAATAGAGTTGTGAAAACGTTGAGTAATTTGGCGCCAGGGG